TTCCTGTTTACTCTTGTTCCTGTTTACTCTTGTTCCTGTTTACTCTTGTTCCTGTCTACTCTTGTTCCTGTTTACTCTTGTTCCTGTCTACTCTTGTTCCTGTTTACTCTTGTTCCTGCTTACTCTTGTTCATGTTTACTCTTGTTCATGTTTACTCTTGTTCCTGTCTACTCTTGTTCCTGTCTACTCTTGTTCCTGTTTACTCTTGTTCCTGTCTACTCTTGTTCATGTTTACTCTTGTTCATGTTTACTCTTGTTCATGTTTACTCTTGTTCCTGTCTACTCTTGTTCCTGTCTACTCTTGTTCTTGTTTACTCTTGTTCCTGTCTACTCTTGTTCCTGTTTACTCTTGTTCCTGTCTACTCTTGTTCATTTTACTCTTGTTCTTGTTTACTTTTGTTCTTGTTTACTCTTGTTTAGTCTACTAAAAAAAAGTTTTTTACACATTTTGTAAAATCTATATTTATAGCAAAAAAATATTTATGAAAATGTAAAGTATTTTCAGTATTTACAGATATATAAAATTCTAATTAAAACTGTAATAATTTCAAAGAAAATACAATTCTCTTTCAAGGAACAATTCTATACATTAATGCAATAGACGGTTTAGAAAACTGCAGTCAGGGCTGCGTTTTTAATACAACATAATTTCTTCAATATTAGTGTTTATACGAAATAAACTTAAAATTACAGTTATGAATAACACCAATAATTTGACAACAAAGGAATTGAGTTTTTGCAGCCAACTCAAATTTTCTAATCCCTATATCCTATAACCTAATGTCGTAGACCTTAGATATTTCAAACTATGAATTCTGTAAGATCAATTTAGCTAAGTTTGAAATATCACAGGGTTACATCATCAGGATTCAAAGTTATAGGAATTGGAAAATTTGAGTTTGTGACAAAAACTCAATTCCTTTATTATTTATTATTTGTAAAATATAATTTAAATTGCATACATTAAAAGAATTTACAATTAGTTTAAATCGTATATTTCTTTCAAGAATTCTTGCCGATTGAGCTGGCTTCGGATCAATACATTTATAACATTAATTATTCTTAATTTTTTAGGTAAGTTTATGCTCTAACTCTAAGAGATTACTGGTACAGGAATTACGTTTCTATAATGGTATTGTATTGTACATAATTGTAAATAGTTGTACATTGTTGTACATATTTTTACATGGCATAAATGAGCTAAAGTTTTCCTACAGACTTTTACAAAGAACTTGAATAACGTTAAACTTTTTTATAAATATATATATATATATTTAATTCTAATTTTAATGGGCTATACAAATAATTGTCTTTAAATTTAAACATCTGCTGAAAAATAAACTACATATTTTCTGTCTTTCCTTGATTCTAAAAGTTTATAAACAAATAAACCTTGAACTAATTAACTTTTTCCGGATGCACAGTGCACATAAAGGATTTTACAGAATTAATTTAATCTTTGTTTTGACGTTCAAGGTTTCCTCCAAAAGAACACTTTTTTCTTTCTTCATTTGCGAAAGCTATAAGAGCGCCATGAAAAGGCTATGTTTATGTAAGAACCCCCCAAAACAAATATCGTGACGTTGTATTAAAAGTTTAAAATCGTTATTAATGTCTCCTTCTTAGTGGTGACCATGTACACAAAAAAAAAATTCCCAGTGAGCTATTGATCTGTCAGCAATAAACCATCAAGCTTAGAATACTAGAATACTAGATTATACTAAAATACTAAAATCTTCTGGTTCAGCTTTTAACTGATATGTAATTTCTCTCTAAGTGACAGGTTAATAAATGATATCAAGTCCTGTCAAAACAAAACCTAGAACAAGAACCTATGCAGTGAGTAAAGATACAGGCTCTAATATCATTCAACTATATTCTAATTGATCCCTGTAATAAGCTTCTATCCTGGAGATTTGGTGAACCTGAATAAATGAGTTTATGACTAAGTTTGGAAACTCATGGTCAACATGTAAAGATTAAATCCGTCTCTAGACAGAGCAATCTAACCTATAGAGAACTGTATCCGGAGTAAAAACCTATCCCTACACTCAGCGTATCAAATTTTAGAGTAGAGTGGGTATGTAGATTGTAGAAAGCCTAACTATAAGATACCCCTGGAGATAAAATAACCAAACCTTGTCTGAATCTTGAAAGATGTTGTATGCTAAGGTCTGGAAGATGGCAGGTATTGGTGATGGTGGTTGTTGAAGCTGGATTAAAATATATATGTTGAGTGCGACTAGTGTGAGTATATACACTATACATAGGCTTCAGGTTGGGTCCCAGTACACACCTTTACTCCGAACCGTTTACACATACAACCTAGAGTTCTGTCAAGTGTGAAAATGAAAAGTTCTGGAGATCAAAGGAAAAGAGTGGCCAGGTGTCACAGTGATCACCTCACGGAGAAGGGACGGGTTCGTGTGGTGAGAGGTACCGGATCTATAGATCTCCAGTACTCTAAGCATATAGCAAACCATTGCAAGAATTATCTAGGGTAGGTTATATATCCTCTCTATATAGGGTTGGGATTCATATAACGGATTGGAACATAACTGTAAACATATTTGTGGACATTAGCAAAAAAGAAGACTCATTAAAAAACCTTCAGCCTACCTAAACCCCTAGTAAAGGAACTTAAGCATTCGCTGTAAACTTCTGTAAACAGGATAAAGTCAACATAAATAATACTTGTCAAACTATTTTTTCGGACAATAATCTTTGTTAAAACTGTTTTTCTAACCTTTTCTACGAGTCTAGATTTAAAGTGATTTGAACCATTGTAAATTGATAATGACAGTCCCTCAGTGCAGTCCTCATATAAATTACGTCTGACATTTTTTTTAATAGAAAAAATAATTCCCCAGTTGAAAGCAAGATTGAATTTAAACTAACTGGATTAAAATGTTTCCATTTGACGTTATCAGCTAGCTTACCCATCCCTCTTCAAAACCTAAGATTTCCATTGTAAGCAGGTTGAAGGAGATTATCTATATACATATATACTTTGCTTGTTTTTTTTAACTTGTATCCAATGAAGGTCCAAACGTTTGAACCAATCGTGCACAATTTTCATTGACCCCAGGGAATGTTTATGGATGGTTAAGGATGAAAAATGTTGCCAGAAAAATTGTTGAATTTATTATTTTCAAAATCTAAAACTTTAAACAGAAAAATCTGCGAAATACGATTTACAAAGAAAAATGAGCAACGGTTCACTCCTGTATGCCGAGTTCATTAGCACCTGATCCAATCAGGGTTCAGTCATGTGTTTGGTGTCTATTCTGAACCAATTGAAATCGTAAGGCGGTTACATCTATCGTTCTATCTATCTCATTATGCAATCAGAGTTATGAATCCTTAAATCGGCGCTCTCAGTTAATGGAATTATTTACTTCTACTGAAGTTGCGTAAAGTGCCCAAAAAACCTAGTATTTTATATCTGAATAATCTTTGTATATCTCTTTATGTGCTTTCAAGAATATCTCTAAACAGCTCAGTATAATGGAGTTAAATCTCTTCTTTTTAGAAATCCGTCTTTTGACATAAAAGTTTTTTGAAGTTAAGATGAAAACTATTTTGAAAGGTTTTATGAGGAAAAATAAATAAATAAATTTCTCCAAAGCTAAAATCCAAAATTATATTGCATGTTTCTTTAAGTTCCCAATTAACGTCAAAACGGCTGAACCGATTGTGTCCAAATTTTGTGTGGGACTTATTTCGGTTAGAAGTGTGGTTTGAGGTCGTCTTTTTCTCTGACTTTAATCCATAAAATCCAATAAAATAATGACTTATAAACAACGGCAGTTAGTGAATGGTTTCAGAGTCTGAATCCTGTGTCTATGTAGTAGTTGTAGGCTGGATATCTTGCCCATTGATCAAATCTACCGTGATCTGTGGATTGCAACAGGTTTAAATTCTACTTTTACTGTTTAACTAAATAAATTGCATTCATATATATTTACTTATGTACTGGTGTGAGTAAGTGTGTGTTTAAACCTGCTAAGGAAGTAGGAGTAAGAGGAGGAGGAGAAGGAGGAAAATCTAAGTTTGTGACGGAACCTGGGTTAGTTCTCCGACCAGGTTGGGAGAAGTTACATCTCTTCAGATCCGTAATAGAAAACCAAACCAGAGATATTCCTGTATTCTCCTATTCCGTCCTATTCTTATTCATTAATCTTTTCCTTCATTCTCCAGCCTTCCTTCTACTCTACGCCCATCTCCTTACTTTCCTGCTCATCTATTCTCAGCTGGAAACTTTTAAATGGTTGGAGCAAGTTTAACTTAATCTCTTCTCGTTCAAGATAAATCGATCTTTCATTTGTCAAAACTTTGGAGATTTTACCGATGAGAGATTAGGTATACTCTCCTTGAAAGAATTGAAGAGATTAATTTCTTCCTTTCAATTAAAAGTTCCCGGCTCTAAGGCTCTTCATTGTCGGCCTCTGGAGTGTTTAAACATTGAGCATGTTTTTTCTTACTTCAAAGAATTATTACGTCAAACAATGTAAAGATTTGGATTTCTTTCATCTTGAGTTATTTACATAAACGCATATAAAAAGATTAGATTTAAAAATAATGGCAAAAATAGTTGTAAATATACTATTTAAGTACATTTTAAGAAATGTCATTCTAGAAAAACTTGATTTTAAAAGTAGTGAGTACAGTGGTATAGCATAAACATGAGTTAAGAAATAAAAAGTAGATATAGCAAATATCAAAGCATATTCCCAAAAAACTATCTTTTAGGCACATTTTTGAACAATTTAAAAATCTATGTAATATTTCCTATCAATAGACACCAATTAGAGTTTTGAATCGGAAATTTTAAATAAATTTCGAAAATGTCCAAAAATGTTAAAATCAAACTAATATGAGAGCTCTAGTACTTTAAAGATTGTTTTTTTTGTGACACCCTGTACTAGTATGTTTTACTTAATTGTGCAAACACATATGTTTTATAGCTTTCGAAATTTGGACTATTTTTACTTCTTGAATTTTGGAAAAATGTCCATTCGGAAGCAAATAAAACAAGAACCCTTTAGAAAATGTTATTTGGAATAGCCCGCTCGGAAAGTATATTTAAAAATAGCTAAAATGTAAGTTTCTATTCTAAACAGTAGAACTGTTACTGCAAATTTCAACCAAGAATATGCATAGATGAAAGATAAATACTAAAAGACGATAAGTAGAAGAATAGAGCTTTAACTGAATGCCCCCTCCTCTCTCCCCCCCCCCCCCATGGTTTATGTCTTTGTTATAAAATATAAAACATATCGACTGAAGCTGAAAAAGATGTTTTCACGGTTGGATCTGGAAACTTTTCCTTTAATCTCATGTTTAGAAGAAAACTAAATAATTGTATAACCCAGAGTGTCCCAATAAACATGGGAATTAAGTAACGACTTGAAAGTCGTCTTTGATTTCTTATATCTAATGCATAGCAAAGAAAGTATAACAATAAGACTGTACAGTGTGCGTCTGACGACCTTTTCATAAAGTGGTCTCAATATACCTTTCTTGTAACTTAAAAATTGACGAAGAGTTTAGGTATTCATTAAGACAATTTTGATATTGAATTCCTAATTTTCTAATAAAAAATTTACCAAATGGAAAGAAATATTCCTGATGGGGGTTTAAAACTTCTAAGTTGAGTTGGTTAGGAAAACTCCAGGTAAAGCTGGGTACCGAAGCTAGTACTAAAATAATAAAAAAGTACTAAAAAGTACACTTTATAATGGGTAAAAAATACTCAATGATGGGGAAAACTATTTGTTTTGACAGGGAAAGATACTGCTGGATAAAAAATGCATTTCTTTTATATTTTTAATGAGAGTAACATACTGCAGGTTAAAATAATAAAAATAATAGTTTTAAAGAATTAAAAAGAAAACATTTTCTTTTACTTTTACAGCAACAAGTTCAATGATTTAATTGATAAAGATGATATATTTATATTAGTCCATGGGTTTAATTGATATAGATGATATATTTATATTAGTCCATGGGTTTAATTGATAAAGATGATATATTTATATTAGTCCATGGGTTTAATTGATAAAGATGATATATTTATATTAGTCAATGGGTTTAATTGATAAAGATGATATATTTATATTAGTCCATGGGTTCGTTGGGTTAATTTAGTCATTATAGATTTAAACTCGAGTAGAACTGTTCAGATATCGGTACTTTTGAGAGGATATTGTTAATCTCGCGAACACTTGATCTCTATATCCAATGTGGGCAATTTTAAATTTGAGGATCGATGTTCGATCCCTTACTTAAAGTTATCTCAGCAGGTTATATATAGATCTGCATAAGACGGAGATCAATGCTTGATCCCGATATTTATAAAACAAAAAATCTGACTCCAGTTTTATTTGACTTTATATTTTGTTAAAATAAGTTGCATTGTCTCACAACTCCACAAAAATATTGCCAAGGGCCGGAAGGGAACAAATTTTTTTATATTTTTTAACAATAACTCTGTAAGGACACATTGAAGATTTATTTTTTGTGATAAAAAAATGTTTATTGTCTTGCAGTCACCCTGGACTAACCAAGGCTATAGATGCGTTCGGTTTTTTTATTCTGAATTCATTTTTTGTGCTATGACGCAGCAATATTTAAGTTGCAGAGTTGTCTTTTTATTTTTTTCATTTAAAACATGAATCCGAGACAATAAGTTTTGTAAGAAAATTGTGATCGAAAGTTACAGCTTGCTGGGACAAGGACAGAATTGTTGAATGTAGTGTACTGTGTACACTGTATGGATATAGGGTGTTCCAATAAATAAAAACATAATATATCGTCTTCGATTCATATGATATTTTTCATGAACACAATAATTGCAATTTAACACATCTAATATCGGAACGCCCGGTCTTGAGATTTTCAAAATGAGGTCTACCATTTTTGTATCTTCAATATTGACGGAGATAATACAAAATTTGAAATTTCAATTTATTTAATAAATTTTCATTAAAGTCGGAGTTTACTTGGATTCATTTGCATGACGATCAAATACCATCTATTTATACTTTGCTTGTCTGTATATCCAATAAACGTCAGAACGACTGAACCGATCGGGCCCAAATTTTGTATGTACACTTTCAAGACCCCTGGAAATGTAAAACAAGTTTGTCCCAAAAAAATGTCGAAAATTTTTTGTTGTAAAAAAGAGAATAAATAGAAAAATTCGCGATAAAGAGATGGTAATTCTCTGAACATGGATATTTTGTTCCATTAATTACTTTCCGCGACTGTATTCGTACACAATAAAGAGGAAGTTGAGAGCTTTTTTTCAAAAACTATTCATCAAAATTATATGTTTGATTTATATAGAAAAGAAAGTCTTTATTACAACGACATTAATACCAGTTTCGGTACATTTGTAAGCAGTTTGTTTTGGTTTCAATGCTTCTTCCTCTTTTCTATTTCTTGACCGACGTGTATGGTGAACTGAGTACACATGTCAAATCAATAATGAGAATA